TTAGCTCTGGCTGCCAATTGCCCCCGATCCTGCTGTATATGCCTGTTTTAAATGAAACATGCGTTGATTTGCTGTGTGGGGATGACTTCCCCTTTGTTGGTCCCTATCGTAATCTGAATAGGTAAAACCGCCCCAACAATCTCGGTCGAATCTGATTTGATGAAAGGCCACTAATAAATGCGTCTCTGACGGCGTCATCACGATATTGTTCTACCATAACTGCCTTGCAATTGCCGTCTTTAACTAGGGATTTCAGCCTTTGGACGAATTAATTGAAAGTTTGTCCATTCTCTGGTCTACAGGTCGCTAGAAGGTGGCGAGCGAAGATTTCGTTTTTAAGTTTTGAATAGAAGTCTTTTAGCCAAATTCAATGCTCGCCACCAACCACAGCAGAATGACGAAATGCACGTAACGCCTACTAGCACAGACTGACAATCCTGCCAATTGGCGTACAGGTCAGGTCAGGTTTATTAAGAGGAATATAGGTAAATGCCTTTGAACTCCCTCTTGGTACAGAGCAGCTATGAAATGCATTGGTTAAGCAGAACATATAAAGTTGCCAGTAATGGATCTGCATAAAAAGAGCAGATAGTGAAAAAACTCCTTAGGAAGGGGTTTAAATGCCATTTGAGGGATTTTAAGGAGAACCACTGTCGTTCGTGGGGGAGAGTAGAGTATATGGAAATCGGATGGCCTGCAGCTGAGTATTTGAAACATGCCCGCGGTTTCTATCAATATGAATATCAGACGAATATTGATTTTTCTGAACGTTTAAAATTTTAATTGTTTGCTGCACATTTTCTCACGTCTGAAGACGAGCAGGGAAACCTGCCTCGAAAATTTTCACAACAAAGTTTCAATTTTCCCAACGAAGCCATTATCTTCATAATAGCATCTTTGTAACTGGTACATTCACTGATGCATTCCCAGCTAGTCGGAGAGCCATAATTTGTCCGAAAGCTCAATTTGTTTGGTTTCAACTCTTCGATCTTGGTCATATGGTTTTATCGAACGTACAGAACCAGTGACTCCATTGTTTGGAGTCGTCTGGAGTATTCCGATCCACACCGAATCGTCCTGGCTCGAGGAATCGGTCCATTTTGAGTTGTAAGATGAACAGACGTGAGAGTCAGAATTGATGAGTACCCTAGAATTGGACTTTTTTCTTCTTGCAATTGGCGTGGTGGAACTAAAAAGGAAATACAGAGTAATCATAGAGGTATAGAAAATAGTCAGACTATTCAGTTAGCATGACGTTCCCACTCTCCCTCTCTTCGTTCCCTCATGGCTTCACTGTGGACTGTCAAAGCCTCTCAGTCATGAATAGATTGTTGATCACAACTCAAGTCATTAATGTTGCGAAATGTTGCCTCCTTTTTGAGCTTGTTATTCCTATTTCAACTTTAATTTACTGTCATCACTTTTCCATGCTTGCCGAATTCCAGAAACCATTAAAACTGACGACGATAACCGCGAAGCACATTTTTGTCAGCCTTGCGGACGAAAAAGGATGCATGCTTGTCGCTGGTGCTGCCGGGCAGTATTCAGTCTCCTTCAGTCTCCCCGACGTAAGCCTTCCCCCTACCCCCACCCCATCCCCCTCTCTGACCTCCAAATAGCCCAGTTTATATACCTTCACGTTTCCCATACCCCTCCTGCTGCTGCTATTTACAGGTTCTGCTCGCAGTACCCCTTCATGGAGTGCCAGAACCGGCTACTAAGTTTGCGGTCTTCCAACAGGTGAGTTGAAACAGACATAGCAGAGTAGGTTGTTTGCTTTCTCCGATGTCTGCCATATACTCCTCCCAAATTATTCGCATTCCTTCTCCACAGGCACCTCGCAACAGCCTGTCCTTCGGCGTGTATGACGTCACTTCCGGTCGTCAGGTCTCCCCGGCGGTATTTTCTAAGCCGCTGATTCTGCATTCAAATCACGGAGGCCTAGAAGGGGTAGGTGCTGCCTTTATAAGTTGTTGCAATGTTGCATGTTGGCCGCTGTTTCACTCGGCACTCTCAGTTACTACTTATTGAATTGACCGTTCTGGTCTGTTAGATGTTGGGCCCTTAATGTCCTTTAGTCCTAGTCTGTTGTCGATTTTTTCTCAATGCAATGCAAGTTCATTCACCAAAGGTCAGTCTGAATAACTTGAATATTCAATGGCAGCCCGGCTCCGGGCTCACTTTGCTCACTTCGCATAACTGACTACTTATTTCAGAGTAGTAAGCACGTTTTCTCACAACAAGGTACGACACAGTCCATCCGCATTGCACTCCCCACACGGAAAGCTTTAGCATCCTGCGGTCACATTTAGTTTTACTGGTTTGAGTTCAGCTTAGTTTACTTTAGTTTAGTTTGGGTTTACTTTAATGCTGGTTGTTGCAATGTTAGCTTAGCCGCTGTTTCAATCGTCAGTCTGCAGTTACTGATTACTTGGTTGCCCCTTTTGGTCACTTAACCATAAGAAGTTGGGCCCTTATTGTTAATATTCTTTAATCTCCTGAAATATCAGCCGAAATTCTGAAATGTGTGTTCGATTCGAACATATTAATTAAGTACAATTGCAGTGATGATTATCGCACAGCCTACTCTCAATATGTGCTAGTCACGTCAGGATGCCGGCTTCTTTCTCACTGCCTAAAAAGTATATTCTGTAAAAAAGGACTTGACCACTCAAATAGTATGCATTTTTCTCATTGATTTTCGCTGCTCTTATAAATTCGACAATTTTATGGAAATCATACACAAACATATTCTTTCTTGTACTCGTTTCGTAAAAAGTACGCCATCTTCACATTTTATAGCCAAAGAAAGAGTATATTTAGGTTTTATAAGGTTTTTAATTATGAGATTTTTCACGACCGTGGAATATTCATTCATGATACATCGTACCCGTCAATTTATTGATGTTGTCTTTAAAGTACACAAGATGATCCACATCCATTGCACAATTTCCTATGTTGCGTTTTCCTCATGCCGTAGGGAAATATGTACTTTTCCTTAGACGGAATGTATGCATTATGTAGTTTGGGTTTTTAATTACTTTACAAATTAATTTCTGCTCTCAGTTTACATCAATATATTTAAGGTTTTTAGTCATAAACCGATATTTTATGTGTATAGGTAGTACCTGAGCCGTTAGCAAGGTAACTCACAACAAGTTTAACAGTCAGTTGGGTCCGAAATTATGGGGCAGTTTGAAAACTTTGAAAACTGGAAGTATAAAATTTGAGGAAGACGTAATTTGCTACCAAACGAGTACAAGAAAGAATATTTTTGTTCACATTTTCTATAAAATATATTTGAATTTATAAGCGTAATGCAAATTAATGGGGAAATGCATACTACTTAAGTAGTTATTTTTTACGGCGTATACTTTTACAAGCGGTCAAAAAGACGCTCGTGCAAAAGCTGACTATACGACAGTTAATATTACAATTTTACTTTAGTAATTTGTTAGAATCGAAAATCAATTTCAGAATTTCGGTGGACATTTCAGGAGCCGGGGAATCTACTGTAAATACACCCCAACCTGTCTCCATTCATTTGCCTGCCGTTAATCAGTTCTGGATGCTATGCGGTCAGTCATGGGCTGCACCATTTACTTATTTAGGTTTGATAGATTTTCTTAATTTAGTTGACCCAACTGTGAAAAAATACCCGCGTAGTAGGGAAGGCCTTTACGCAGCCAATGCGCTACCAGTTGAGCTACAAATGGCACGCCTTGCACCGTGAGTTTAATCACACTTGGATCGATTTTACCCGCCCAAATTTACCGCTCGTACGGAATCAACCAATACGGAACAAGCGGACAGCCCAAGCAGGATTTCCCAAGCAATCATCTAGAATCGAGCAGAATGACTACTAGGCTCACTAAACTATTTAGGAGGTTTGACAGATTTGCTTGATTTAGTTGACCTCTTTACATTAGAATATTGTACTCATCACGTGATGTTTCATTTCAGGCTGTCGTTATTCCGAACAATAAACAGGCCCTCCTATTCACTGAGGATCACGCTATTCACCTGTTTTCCAATGACGGTAAGCATTGCTTCATGTGGTCCCTTTCCCACTGTTTCTAAAGACGTTTCTTGTAGATGAGTGTGTTTGTGTGTACGCTGCCCTAACCACACGAAGCCTTTTTTTCAAACCGACTTTTTTCTTTTTAGTCAGATAGTAAACCCTATAAGTGGCATGTACATTATAAACAAACATATCAGAAATCGATTAGGTTTGTGGCATAAAGTGAAGAATAACTAAAACACTGTCATCGAGGTCGTTTCATGCATCATGAAATATTACCGACAAGGACAAGAGAGTCTGGAGTGGCAATTCCCACGTAATTAACTTGGTATTATCCTTAATATTTATGTGTATAGCGAGCCCACATGAGAAAAAACTTAGTTAAAGAGCAATGGGGATTGCTAGTGTTTGTGAACAGCGGGGAGACCCCGAGTTAAGTACTGACCACAGCTCGTTAACTAGCCGTTCTTTCGTGTGTCAGCTTGCAGTAAGGGCTTCTGCAAGCATTTGACAGGCCTGTCTACACATCTCCATCACTACGAAGGTCCGCGTATACCGTGCGTCAGTCCTATGCGGTTGTGAATGCTAGACCTTGCGTGCGTGGAAGACGAACGAAGACTAGAGGTATTTGACCACTGCTGCCCTAAGACTGTCCTCCGAGCAAAGTACACCGACTTTGTGAGACAGTTTACTACTTTAATTACTTGAAACTAAGCCACGGGCAGGTCATCGTCCCTGCACCATTGAGCACACGGTGAACATTATCGTAATCGATGGTCAAACTGTCGGAAAGCATACACAAAACACTCGTCAAGTATTTCATCGGTGCATAGGATGGTGTTGACGAATATAGAGATGTATTTTTTTCCGGATGGGTACAGGTTTCCTCCTTGCCAACTTTGAAACCCTCCTTTGCCAGCTGTTAGTGTACTCAGAACACCACAACAGTCCGATTTTGGAGGAGGAAAATGAAAAGGACACTAATATCCTGCATACAGAATTCCGACGGTAGTTGGTTGGTTAGCAGCACTTGTTCGATCAGGAGTCCCCGCCGCAGTCCAACCTGGATGCAGTTGGGAGACGGAAAAATGCCGCGACCTCAGCCGGCTTGAGCCAAAGGTCCATGGGGTGAGTTGGGTGCCTGGCCAGGAGCTGCAGGCGAAGAGATGCTGACAGTCATGCGGCGAGACGCCGCAGTCG